TTTTTGTGGAGGTCTAGAAATTTATGGTAAAAAATTTATGCAGCTTTACTGTTATTAAAATAAGAAACAATCCAAGAGGATTATTCATAGAAGATCAAAAATACATGTACGTTTTTTCAGCTCAGGTTTTCACTCAAATGTTCACGCTGTCAAACAAAAACATTTGTATCGGATTAAAAAATAAAATCTCAAAATAGAAGCAGTTTCATTTGTGGCGTCAGACATTTGGACTCCAAACCATATTCTGGTAAACAATGTTTCAAACTCTAAAGAGATTGTGCAGTATTAAATATTTTATTAAACTCGTACGTTTCTTAAATTAAACTTAAGTGCATCAATGCTTTTAGAGAGAAAACAGGTTCAACAAAGAAAAAATGTGTTCAGTACAGTTTCACTGTGTATAAATTACAGTATAAAAAAAAATCAAACAAGCAAAGAATCACAAAAACAAAGAAAAAAATCAACATCAGCAACATGAAGAAATCTTCCTTATATTCATAGAAACAAACTGGAACACGAAAAGAGACAGATGAGGTTCCTTGGCATTCTCCCTAAATTAAACAAGTATTCTTTTTTTTATTCTACATCAAATATCGATATCTTTTCATTTACAGAACAATACAATAACAGTAAAACTGAACAATTATACTAACCCAAAAAAAGCTTAACTTCAATCCAAAAACTGTCGAAAGTTCAGAAAGAGATTCTATCTTTTATGAAAATCAGGAATGATGGTTACTTTGAATGTGTCCAAAAGGTAAAACCATGTAAATCAAACTTGTAAACATTCTATTGCTCATAAATACATATGTGAAAAGTCAGTTTGTGTTTGATATATATATATATTTTTATGCTAATATACAGTTGCTGGATAACCACTAGGAAAGCCTGACTACTGATTGACAGGTTTAATGAAGTTTTGATTACTAAATCTCCTGTGACACAGTTCATCTGGCTGTACTGTCAGTGTGTGTAATGCGCTCTGGTTCGCTCACTCGTCCTGCTTCTTGAGGAAGAACTGAAGCGCGGCGTCCCACTGGTCTCTGGGGAAGCGGTTGGAGAGTTCGCAGTAGTCCAGAGCAGCACAGCCCTTCTCTGTTGGACAAAGAGCGAAGCACTGAATCAATGCAGACAAGGATCCTTTTGCAAGCAATAAAGCCGTCTATATTAAATGATGCACTTTAAAACTGAATATTGAGATTTCAGAATTCATCTGACAATCGTAAACATTTCTAATCACATCTAAAAATGTAGAATATGTATTTATATGCATAGTGTGCATTTAAAAGGCTAGTTCACGCAAAAAAATGTTTGTCATTATACACTCACCTGAGTGTTATGAATGCATTAGACTTTATTCACAAAGAAGATAATTCAGTGAAATCTTAAAAACTTTAAAAACTTAAGAATTTTAAGTTCAAACTTCATTGGTTCTTGCATAAAATCAATCCTTATCGGTTGATGTGGAAGCTCAAATTTTATTGATCCTTCCGTAAACTCAATCTTCATTGATCCTTGTGAAAGCTCAAATTTCATTGGTTCTAGCAAAAACTCAAACTTGACTGGTTCTTTCAGAAGCTCAAACCTCATTGGTTCTTGTGGTAGCTCAAACGTCACTGGTCCTTCCGTAAACTCAAGCTTCTTTGGTTCTTGTGGAAGCTCAAGCTTAATTGGTTCTTGTGAAAGCTCAAACTTCATTGGCTCTTGTGGAAGCTGAAACTTCATTGGTTCTTGTTGAAGCTCAAACTTCACTGACTCTTGTTGAAGCTCAAACTACAATGGTTTTTGTAGAAGCGCAAACTTCATTGGTTCTTGTGAAAACGCAAACTTCATTGGTTCTTCTGTAAGCTCAAACTTCATTGGCTCTTGTGAAAGCTCAAACTTCATTGGCTCTTGTGAAAGCTCAAACTTTATTGGCTCTTGTGAAAGCTCAAACTTCATTGGCTCTTGTGAAAGCTCAAACTTCATTGGTTCTTGTTGAAGCTCAAACTACAATGGTTTTTGTAGAAGCGCAAACTTCATTGGTTCTTGTGGAAACGCAAACTTCATTGGTTCTTCTGTAAGCTCAAACTTCATTGGCTCTTGTGAAAGCTCAAACTTCATTGGCTCTTGTGAAAGCTCAAACTTCATTGGCTCTTGTGAAAGCTCAAACTACAATGGCTCTTGTGAAAGCTCAAACTTCATTGGCTCTTGTGAAAGCTCAAACTTCATTGGTTCTTGTGGAAGCTCAAACTTCATTTGTTCTTATGTAAGCTCAAACTTCATTGGTCATTTCGTTTTGGAGAAACCTTGAACCTTATTGGATTCTGTAGAAGCACACATCTCAACGGTTCCTTTAAGTCAAACATGGCATGGAATGACATGTAAATCAATATCAACGATTTGCACAGTAGCTTAAGAATAAATGTTTACCGCAGACAATGCAACATGCTGGTGTTACACAAGAATTAACCTGCTTATTGCAAAATCTTTCTCTTGAGGAAGCTCAAATATTGTTGGTTCTTTTGATAGGTCAAACCTTAGTGGTTCATTGGTTCTTGTGGAAGTTCAAACCTCAGTGGGTCCTTTATAAACTTGAATCTCTTTGGTTCCTACCAAAACTCCAATGTGCTGGTATGACAAAAAATTGTAAAAATGTCTGTTCTAATCTGTTCATTGTAAAAATTTGGGTTCACTTTTTGAACCTTTTGATGTGTCATAGTTTTGGTGAACAGATGTCTCAGATTTTATTAAAAATATATTTGATTTCTAAAGATAAACAAAAGTCTCATGGGTTAAGCATGAAATGACGGTGACTCACAGATGACAATTTAATTTCTGAGGTGAACTTCCCTTTAAAGTACGAAACACCAGATACATAATCACATTTCTTAAACATACTGATCTCACCTGGCTGTGAAACTCGGCTGTCTGATTGGTTCTCGTTGGTGGCACAGTCCTGGATTACACAACAGATTTCATTGATTAATTCATCCAGTGTGGTGCCGAAATGTGTACAATCCCAGTGAAATATTCACTTTGTTTTGGTTGTTGCCCATAACAAATTGCTATCCACTTTGGCTATGCTTGTAGCATGGAAATTATTAAATTATACCCTTACAGTCAAGCCCGAAAGTATTCATACCATACTGGCAAATTCTGATTTAAAGTTACTTTTATTCAACCACCAAGACAGTCACAGCTAAGACAAATGAGACTTAAGATAAGACCATATCTAAATGCTTTAAATTTCCAGTGGGTTCAGTACAAAGTGTTATGAAAAAAAGCAAGATGTTAAGCATCCGTGGACATTTCAGCTCAACAACAATCCAAAACACAAGTAAAAGTGGTGAAGAAATGGTTAGCTGACAAAAACATCAATGGTTTACAGTGTCCCAGCCAGAGTCCTGACATAAATCCAATTGAGAATCTGTGGAGGGAGCAAAAGATCAGAGTGATGGGAAAAAGACCCTCCAACCTGAAAGAGTTGCAGAAATGTTTTCATTCCCAGTGAAATATTGACTTTGTTTTGGTTGTTGCCCATAACAAAGTTTATATATTTTTTGCTATCCACTTTGGCTACTGCTTGTAGCATGGAAATGATTAAATTATACCCTTACAGTCAAGCCTGAAAGTATTCATACCATACTGGCAAATTCTGATGTAAAGTTACTTTTATTCAACCACCAAGACAGTCACGGCTAAGACAAATGAGACTTAAGATAAGACCATATCTAAATGTTGTAAATTTCCAGTGGCTTCAATACAAAGTATTGTCAAAAAATACAAGATGTTAAGCACCAGTGGACATTTCAGCTCGACAACAATCCAAAACACAAGCAAAAGTGGTAAAGAAATGGTTAGCAGACCAAAACATTTACGTTTTGCAGTGGCCCAGCCAGAGTCCTGACCTAAATCCAATTGAGAATCTGTAGACGGAGCAAAAGATCAGGGTGATGGGAAAAAAGACCCTCCAACCTGAAAGAGTTGGAGATCATCACTGAAGACAAATGGGCAAAAATACCAGCAGAGACATGCAAAAAAGCTGGTCGCCAATTATAGGAAACGTTTGATTGCTGGGTAATTTGAGTTGGACATATTACAAGGGTATGAATGATTTTGGAAATGCCACTTTTTGTTCAAATGTAAATAAGAGAAATATTTATTTTAATGACATCTCTTGTACATAGTCTTATTATCTTTTAGAAATTTCCTGGTCTCATTTCCAGCCCAAAAATCCTTGCAGGTTGAATAAATGTAACTCTAAATCCAGATTTTCCAGGTCTATGAATAATTTCGGGCTTGACTGTATAAACAAAATTCCGAAAGTACAGAATTTCCATTTTTATTTTTATGTTTGGACAAAGCTGTTGTCAGCATTAACAAGTGATGTTAAGGTGCAGGACGTCATTTATCTTCCCATTGTTTGAATAAGCTGACGATTCCCTGTCCTTGCTGGAGTAAGAGCTAATCTCTCAGTAAGTAATGGCAGCGGTGGTGCAGCGTGGAGAGCGCTGTCAGGAGGAAGATGAAGAGAGAGCCTGTTTACAGGAGGCTCAAGTAGTGGCAGGTAAATCCACTCAAATCGACAGAGGAAACCATCCATCTGAGTGGAGGAAGCTGCTGCTTTTAGGGGGGGCGGAGGCGTGCTAGCAACAAAAAGGTCATGGGTTCGATTCCCAGTGAATGCATCTTGAACATACATGCGCTTTAAGTCGTTTTGCATGCAAGTAAATAAACGAACAATGTAAAAAGCAAATGTTTTACTATATGAGAAAATAAAAGAATTAGATTCCTATTTAAATACGGCCTTGACATACTTTAAAGTGAAATCAAAGAATTGGTGTAAGACATATCATAGAAAATCTGGCAAAATTATTATTATTCCAGAACAGTTTTACAAAAGGTGCAGCTTATACATACATTATAGTCAAGATTATAAAGTTAAGGTGTTGTGTGTGTGTGTGTGTGTGTGTGTGTGTGTGTGTGTGTGTGTGTGTGTGTGTGTGTGTAGGGGGAGAGCAGGGCACAAAGTGACACTTTTTGGTTTTGGCCAAATAATGAATAAAGTAACGGGCTTAGACAAACCATTTGTTTTCTTACCAACAACACACACGCCTCTCCTACAAATGAGCACTGGTTGTGTGATCTCCGGGCTTATGGTTTCTGTGCAGCATTGCCAAAAGTGCCAGAAGTATAAATGTTACTATATACCCCACCTGTGGGGAAAGTTGTAACAGACTGAGAATTAGTTGTAACTAGGGTTGGGCGATGTCGACCAATTTGGCATCGTACGATGTCTAATATGAAACATCGTCGTCGATGCCAATGTGAGGAGAGTTTACTCACACATGACTTGTTTTAGCTCTTTTGGTCCGTTAATAAACTTTGCAGTGTGAAAGCGGACCAAGAACAAAGAGCAACAATGTAACAATTTTAATTCCTGTTTCGGAACAACTGAATCGATTCACAGGCGTGAAAGCACCCTCATTCGTTTGTGCTGCAAAAATATTTGTTTGTGCTGTTTTGGTTTTTGAGATAAAAAAAAAAATATTTGCAGGTCATTCAGCGGTCAAGCATCAGTATACGTATGGACGGCTGTATAACCGCTGAAAGAACCACACTTGTTATTTTAATATCTCAAAAACCAAAACGGCACAAACAAATATTTTTGCAGCACAAACGAATGAGACTATTTTGCTGATGTTTTGTATTGGGTGGGGGGCCTTCTTCACGGAGGTCAATAACATGGGGAAAACTCCATATATATATATATATGAAAATATAAGTGTATGAGTGGCCTTAAGAGGAGTGACACAGTGGTGTAGTGAGTAGCGCTGTCGCCTGACAGCAAGAGTGTCACTGGTTCGAGTCCCGGCTGGTTCAGTTGTCATTATTGTGTGGCGTTTACATGTTCTCCTGTGTAGGTTTCCTTCAGGTGCTCCAGTTTAGAGGTTTGCATTCCCGCGGGACCTGACCAGATTTCTTGCGGCACAGGAATAAATTTCCGAATAAATCGCGGGAGCCGTCGGTAACTGGTGTAATCTGAACGAGAGCGGGCGGTTAAACAATATCGCTCCCGACTCCCGAGCGAGCACGCGTATGTATGTGTGTGAATGAGAGAGTGTGATGCTGTGTTTAGCTTGATTGTTGCAGTCTATGTGTGTGTGTATGTGTGTGAATGAGAGAGAGAGAGCTTGGTTCTGTTAGCAGGAACGGGTGGACGGGTTGAAAACAGGTCGGGTAGTTTGAGAACAAATGCTGAATATAAGCGGGAGCGGTCGGGTCCGGACTAAAACCTGTCGGGAGCAGGATTCAAAGTTTAGTCACGTGCAGATCTCTACTCCGGTTTCCCCCTCAGTCTAAAGACATGCGCTGTCGGTGAACTGAATAAGCTAAACTGGCCGTAGCGTATGTGTGGGTGTGAATGCAAGAGTGTATGGGTGTTTCCCAGTGCTGGGTTGTGGCTGGAAGGGCATCCGCTGTGTGAAATATATGCTTGGTAATTTGGTGGTTTATTCCACTGTGGCGACCCCAGATTAATAAAGGGATTAAGTCGAAAAGAAAATGAATGAATGAATGAATGAATGAAGGAAGGAAGGAACGAATGAATGAACGAACGAATGAATAAATGACTAAACGAATGAATGAAGGAATGAATGAATGAAGGAAGGAATAAATGAATGAAGGAATGAATGAATGAACGAACGAACAAGCAAACGAACGAATGAATGAAGAAATAAATGAATGAAGGAATGAATGAGTGAAGAAATGAATGAAGGAATGAATGAATGAAGGAATGAGTGAAGAAATGAATGAAGGAATGAATGAAGGAATGAACGAATGAATGAATAAATGAACGAATAAACGAATAAAGGAATGAAGGAATGAATAAATGAACGAATGAATGAATGAATGATTGAATGAAGAAATGAATGAATGAAGAAATGAATGAACGAACGAATGAACAAATGAATGAAGAACTGAATGAAAGAATAAATGAACGAACGAAGGAACGAAGGAATGAATGAATGAATGAAGGAATGAATGAAGGAATGAAGGAATGAATGAACAAATGAAGGAATGAATGAATGAATGAAGGAATGAATTAATGAATGAATGAAGGAACGAACAAATGAATAAAGGAATGAATGAATGAATGAATGAATGAAAACAAACGAACGAATGAATGAAGGAATGAATGAATAAGTGGCCTTGAGAGAAAAGTTGGCTAAACTGAATGTGAACTGCATGTGAAAGCTGATGGATTTACCTGTATGAAGGTGGCCAGCAGCACACAGCTCATTTCCTGCTGCAGGATGACCTTGTTCTGCAGGTTATTGTAGCAGGCGCAGATGAGCGAGGGGAAGAGCACTTTGATGAGTCGCGGGTGGCTGAAATACTGGAACGGCAGCTGACACAGTTTCTGCAACACGCTGGGCTGACGGCCAGACTGCACAATCACCTGGAACACACACAGTGACAGAGTGCACACACACACACAGACACACACACACAGAACCAGTGAGGCCAAAGCCACAGCCAGCTGTAAATCAACCCGCCCCTCACTGCCCGTCCCACACGTAAATCTGCCACTAAAACAACACACAAACAGCCATTAAGAGGAGAAATAGAGGGCAGTGCCTCCCAGCGCACAATTACACTCCATAAAACACAGACAGGGACGCCTCATCCACTTCTGCCGAGAATGTACGCTGAACACACACAGGTTCAGATCTGCCCAATGGGAGAACACACTCGAGTCCCAGTCCAGATACTAGTGAGCCGCCTTGCTATACACTTTATATTTAGGCAGCACTGAAATGGACATAGGATATAATAAGAGTCCGGTATGATTGTATATTGGTAGTAATTCACAATGCACCATTTACACATAGGAGACTCAGTATTTTTTTGATTCCAAAAACTCTCCCAGAAAGCATTTTTTTTGGTGTTTGAAAGAAGTCTAAAAGCCTTTTCCTAAAAGAAGATCTAATAGACGTCTAAAAATAGCTCAAAACTACACTAGTCTCTATATACACAGGAATAAATGACAACATGTCTGTCTAATGTGTGTATTTGACGACTAGTCTAGTTTTGGCCAATTGTTAGACACATTATGCTGGGTTCACACTAAACACAGAAATAAGTATCCACACAAATAAATTACACTCACTGGCCACTTTATTAGGTACACCTTACTAGTACCAGGTTGGACCGCCTTTTGCCTTTAGAACTGCCTTAATCCTTCGTGACATAGATTTAACAAGCTACTGGAAATATTCCTCAGATTTGGGTATATATTGACATGATAGCATCACAGAGTAGCTACAGATTTGTCGGCTGCACATCCATGATGCGAATCTCCCATTCCACCACATCCCAAAGGTGCTCTGTTGGATTGAGATCTGGTGACTGTGGAGGCCATTTGAGTACAGTGAACTCATTGTCATGTTCAAGAAACCAGTCTGAGATGATTTGTGCTCTATGACATGGAGTGTTATTCTGCTGGAAGTAGCCATCAGAAGATGAGTACACTGTGGTCATAAAGGGATGGACATGGTCAGCAACAATACTCAGGTAGGCTGTGGTGTTGACACGATGCTCAATTGGCACTAATAGGCCCAAAGTGTGCCAAGAAAATATCCCCCACACCAATACACCATCACCAGCCTGAACCATAAATACAAGGCAGGATGGATCCATGCTTTCATGTTGTCCATGCCAAATGCTGACCCTACCATCAAAAAAAGTTGCAGCAGAAATCAGACCAGGCAACATTTTTCCAATCTTCTATTGTTCAATTTTGGTGAGCCTGTGCAAATTGTAGCCTCAGTTTCCTGTTCTCAGCTGACAAGAGTGGCACCTGGTATGGTCTTCTGCTGCTTAAGTCCATTCCCCTCAAGGTTGGACGTGTGCTCATCTGCAGACCTCGGTTGTATCAAGAGGTTATTTGAGTTACTATTGTCTTTCTATCAGCTGGAACCAGTCTGGCCATTCTCTTCTGACATTCTGGCATCAACAAGGCATTTGGGCCCACAGAACTGCCGCTCACTAAATATTTTCTTTTTTTTCTTATAATTCTCTGTAAACCCTAGAGATGCTTGTTGCATGGAAATCCCAGTAGATCAGCAGTTTCTGAAATACTCAGACCAGCCCATCTGGCACCAACAACCATGCCACATTTGAAATCACTTAAATCACCTTTCTTTCTCATTCTGATGCTCGTTTTGACCATGTCTTCATGCCTAAATGCATTGAGTTGCTGCCATGTGATTGGCTGATTAAAAATGCGTTAATGAGCAGTTGGACATGTGTACCTAATAAAGTGGCCGGTGAGTGTACATACAAAGTCAATGCTTGCGCATGAATAGAGGCAAATTATCTCTATGTGGCACAAAGGTCACAGAAAAAGCAACACGTTTGCAGCAAAAGCATGAAATTTGTCTCGATTGTGTCAATTGGGAGAGTACAAATAACTAAATTGAAAGTGAGGGATAAACATCTTGTGAATAATCTGGAGCGAGTGATGTGATCCCTTGTGTATGGTATGAACCTAGATTTAGATTGTGGGTACTAGCAGCTTCCCCAAAATCTAGTGATTTATCATTTAAGGATCAATGAAATATTGGCATCTAGGATGTGGTGAGTCTATAGATTGTGGTCGGAGACTATAGATCAGGGGTGTCCAAAGTAGGTCCTGGAAGGCCGGTGTCACGCTGACTTTAGCTCCAACTTGCTTCAACACACCTGCCTGGAAGCTTCTAGTATCCCTAGTAAGAGCTTGATTAGCTTGTTCAGGTGTGTTTGATTTGGGTTGAAGATAAACTCCAGGACACTAGCCCTCCAGGACCGAGTGTGGACACCCCTGCTATAGATGTATCAAGATGATTCGCTTAAATTACTATGAATGGAAGTGCAATGCATGGTAGCATAATTGAGGCTCTACATACATAGCCAACTCTACTGATCTCAACAAAGCAAGTCAAAGGTCACATTGGCAAGAATGTCCATCAAGTAGGGATGTAGCGGTATTGTAAATACCGTCATACCGCAATAGAATTTTTTTCGATATTACCGTTGTCGCATGACTCGATAAAACTATAGGTCTTCTGAGAAAATTTGCTCAGGCGAATGAAGCGAACGGGAGGTAGTGGAAACTACAATTCCCATCAGCCCAGGCGTGGCCATCATCCTTTGCGGTCTGTTGTCGCTACAGATCCAGTAATGCGGAAATGGAGTGTGCTGCTAGTAGCGGGGATGAAAAAGATCTGGAAATGATCGAAGCTAAAGCGGGTGTTGTCGCCGCGTGGGTTCTGATAGCGGTGTTGTCGCGCGCGTTCTGATCAGCTGTGTTGTCGCGCACGTACTGTAAAGCGCCGAGGGGGGGTTCAGCGCGCATACTCAAGAGCGGTGTTGTGGAAGGGCCCCTACTGAAGGGCGGGACGGAGGGTGTGTCGCATCGCGGGGGCACTTTTGATCATTTTGGAAGGGCACTTTTTATCCAAGACTAAAAAGGGCATCTGCACTGCACAGGTTGAGCACTGTGTGTGCACGTGCCTGCAAGTTGGGGAATACGACTAATAGCAGTCATGGGGACTGCAGAAACACAGCACACTGTTCAGATTGATGCAGACATTGACTTGTACCGCAAAGAGATCTCTATCTCACTCATGGCTTGTCCTCTCAAGTGGGGGAAAGACAATGCACAACGTTACCCACTGCTGTCAACCTTGGCTAAATCATATCTCTCTGTCCCAGAAACCTCAGTCCCAAATGAGAGGTTTTTTTTCTGTTGCAGGGGACATTGTAAATGCCCAGAGATCCCAGCTTTTACCAGATTATATTTATATGATAATTTTCCTTTAAACCCATCTCTATCTAAGTGAGTGAGTGAGTTATTAAATGTTGAATGTGATGAGTTTTCAACAATACTAAACTGAAACTTTATTTTTTTACATGGTTTAATAATTTTTTGTTGTTAAAATTGAAGTTCCTGTTTCAAAGCTTACAGATAGATGGCTAATTTGTATGTCATTGACACTTTTGGAACTTTTTTGGAGTATTTTTTGGAGTATTTTCGGTAGTTTTGTTTTTCCTGTAAATGATTCAATAAATACCTTACCGTGACATTCATGCCGAGGTATTACCGTACCGTGAAATTCTGATACCGTTACTTCCCTACCATCAAGAGATGGAGAGGAACCAGGTTCAGTCAGGTGATTGAGATCTCCCTCTGGTTAAATCAATGAAGAAAGCAGATCTTCAGTTTAGCCAGTAGATGAATGGTTTTCAATGTCCTTGAGCATGCTGAGGGCTCGTCTTGATAGACAGACTGGTTTTATCGATGCAATGCTTTATACTTTCTCCACCTTGATTTGCTGTCTTAATACCGAGCCAAAATAGATTATGTAGGCTAATATAAAAGTTGTGACAAATTGCTGTTTGTCAAAACAACAGGAAATTGACTAATGTTGATGGTTTATTGGGGTTTATGTCAGTGCAACCCTCTTGTCACAACCACAGAGATCCATCTATTCTATATTAAGGTCTATAACATGCTGAAATGCATGTTTGTGGGTCAGGTTTTGGAGATGAACCTTGTGCGAAATGCAAAAACAAGCCTGGTCCCACTTTAATAAATGAAGTAATACTCATAATGGAGTTCATGCAGGGTGTTTGCCCCCCTCTGCCTTGGCATTTATCACCGCCTTCAATCACACCGTTGAATCCGGCCCACCCGTTAGAATTAAAACCAAATCACAGCAGGCCCAGGTTGATTAAATACAGTGCCTTGGATGGAGGTAAAAAAAAAATGGGGCAACAAGCTTCCGACTCAGAGGCCTGGGAAGGCGGTCGGCACCCGGGGAGGGAACTGGAGAGTTGGGAGGTCACCACAGTAAATCCTGACTAGAGGGATTTGAGGGGGGAAAGATGAAGAGAGGGTGTTAACCAGTCCCTATTACAGGTACTACACACATCCGTCCCTTGCTCCTCAGCCCCAAATGCAAACCATAAGGGAGGGGTGACATTCCCCGGGAAAGGGGCGACATAAATTACCAGGATTTACAAGATTTTAAAAATACTCTTAACAATACTCTTTCCATCGCATTCTCCCCTTTAATAATACCCCTCAAGGGTTTAACAGCATGACAAACAAAGAGATAACTCACTACTTTTATCATTTAAAGGACGAAACGCCTTATAATGCAGTTCTACAGCAGTGTTCAAAGACTTTAGGTACATGTCTCTCAGTATTAGGAACTGTTTAAAGATGCCTGACTGAAACGACTTAAACAAACCACCATGGAGCCTTTTAATGGTACAAGGAATTGGAGTACAGACTAGTCCTGGATCGGCCAAACTGTATGATTCAGAAGCTTTGCACAGGGTTGAAATTAATGCTCTTGCTACTATGGAACGAATGGTGTAAAACATCTGGTTGTTTTCAGCGTAGGAGCTGCG